CTTATTTGCCTGTAAAATGCCAGGCATATCTTGGTGTTGTGTAACTAACAATAATATCTTGGAGTCAAAGCAACTGCTTGCCCTACTGACATGGGTGATTCCGGCATGAAGAGAGCTTTGTTGATACAGTGCATTTTGAAAGACTAACTGGTGACTGGGTACTGATTCTTAAAACGTTGAGCAGACAGATGAAAAATGACCAGAGCAACCAACAGAAGAGACCCTTGGCAGAACAACAGAGAATGATTCATGACAACTACTGAAAGAATGAACACATGTATGATTACAAATCTCTTTTAGTATCTCACATTTTCCAGAAAAAAAAAAACCATATTTCAGGAGATGTCAACTTACAGCTCAGTCACTGGCTATGCCCATAACTCCCTCCCTTTCCTGCCGTTTCTCAAGGATTTCATCTACTCTTTTCCCTCCTCAACCCCATTAGTTAGTGCCCCCTCAACAAGTTACATCTTGCCTTAAGCAATCCATGGGAATTCACCATTATGTCAGTATGGAGCAATGGGGCTCTACGCAGGCTTCAGGGTTTGCCTGCACAGGTCCAGCTGCAGGAGTGTGGCCTGAGATTGTCACTCTCTGGAGAAGAGACCGATTTTGGTATATGACTGTACAGCACCTAGCACAATGGGACCTCGACTTAGATGGCATATAGGTGCTAGTGTAATAACAACAACAATTGGGTAGACCTAGCAACTGGTCAATGTTGAAAATGGCTCTATCTGAATGTTATACTTTCTGGAGACCACACATATGTTTTTAGAAAAACTAATTTATGTTCAAAAAGAATGAGGAGTACTTGTGGCCCCTTAGAGACTAATACATTTATTATGCTCAAATAAATTTGTTAGTCTCTAAGGGGCCACAAGTACTCCTCCTCCTTTTTGCTGATACAGACTAACACGGCTACCACTCTGAAACCTGTAATTTATGTTCTTGCCTCAAAAATAAAAAAAATAAACAAGCAAATAAAATCAAATAAATGCAGGTGTGAATTACAGGGAAATCTCCAGTAAATAAAACCAGTCATTTCAAACATCATGTGAGCACCAGCTCGTTTATACACTTTGATAGTGGAATGTCTGTTCTCTTTCTTTCTTTCTTTGAGTTACAGCATGGATTGTTTTTCAGAAATCACACAGGTGTGGAAAGATCTTCCAGAGGCAAAGAACTGTGGGCTAGTTTTAGGTCTTCCAACCCTGACAGTGTATCTTTATACTAGGGCTGTTGATTAATCACAGTTAACTCACGTTTAACTAAAAAAAATTAATCGCGATTAAAAAAATTAATCATGATTAATCGCACTGTTAAACAATAGAATACTAATTGAAATGTATTAAATATTTTTGGATGTTCTTCTACATTTTCAAATATATTGATTTCTATTACAATACAGAATACAAAGTGTACAGTGCTCACTTTATATTATTTTTATTACAAATATTTGCACTGTAAAAATGATAAATAAAAGAAATAGTATTTTTCAATTCCCCTCATACAAGTACTGTAGTGCAATCTCTTTATCGTGAAAGTGAAACTTACAAATGTAGATTTTTTTTGTTTCATAACTGCACTCAAAACCAAAACATTTTAAAACTTTAGAGCCTACAAGTCTGCTCAGTCCTACTTCTTGTTCAGCCAATCACTAAGACAAACAAGTTTGTTTACATTTACGGGAGATAATGTTGCCTGCTTCTTATTTACAATGTCACCTGAAAGTGAGAACAGGCATTCGCATGGCACTTTTGTAGCTGGCGTTGCAAGGTATTTATGTGCCAGATATGCTAAACATTCGTATGCCCCTTCATGCTTCGGCCACCGTTCCAGAGCACATGCTTCCATGCTGATGATGCTTGTTAAAAAAATAATGTGTTAATTAGATTTGTGACTGAACTCCTTGGGGAGAATTGTATGTCTCCCACATCCTGTTTTACCCACATTCTTCCATATATTTCATGTTATAGGAGTCTCGGATGATGACCCATCACATGTTCATTTTAAGAACACTTTCACTTCAGATTTGACAAAACACAAAGAAGGTACCAATGTGAGATTTCTAAAAATAGCTACAGCACTCGACCCAAGGTTTAAGAATGTGAAGTGCCGTCCAAAGTCTGAGAGGGACGAGGTGTGGAACATGCTTTCAGAAGTCTTAAAAGAGCAACACTCCCATGCGGAAACTACAGAACCTGAACCACCAAAAAAGAAAATCAACCCTCTGGCATCTGACTCAGATGATGAAAATGAACATGCGTCGATCCGCCCTGCTTTGGATCGTTATTGAGCAGAACCCATCATCAGCATGGATGCATGTCCTATGGAATGGTGGTTGAAGAGGAAGAGACATATGAATCATTAGCGCATCTGGCATGTAAATATCTTGTAACACCGGCTACAACAATGCTATGGTCTCAGTTTCAGGTGACATTGTAAACAAGAAGCGGGGTGCATTATCTCCTGAAAATTGTAACCAAACTTGTTTGTCTGAGCCTTTGGCTGAAGTAGGACTGAGTGGACTTGTAGGCTCTAAAGTTTTATATTGTATTATTTTTGAATGCAGTTATTTTTTTGTACATAATTCTCCATTTGTAAGTTCAACTTTCGTGATAAAGAGATTGCACCACAGTACTTATATGAGGTGAATTGAAAAATACTATTTCTTTTTTTTTTACAGTACAAATATTTGTAATAAAAATAAATATAAAGAGAGCATTGTACACTTTGTATTCTATGTTGTTGTTGAAATCAATATATTTGAAAATGTAGAAAACATCCAAAAATATTTAAATAAATGGTATTCTATTATTTTTTAACAGCGCAATTAATGGCGCTATTAATCGAGATTAATTTTTTTAATTGCGTGATTAATCGTGATTAATTTTTTTAATAGCTTGACAGCCCTATTTTATACATAGTGACATTAGTATCAGGGATCTGAGTACAATGGAAGCTGCTGGGTGCTAAGCGCTTTTGAAAATCTGGCCACTTCATTTAGGCACCTAAATAGGCAGCTGGCTCTTTTGTAAATGTAGATACAATCGTGGGATAGAGACATGAAAATCAGGCAAAAAAATAAAGGCATGTTACACTTTGTGGCTGATAATAATTTACTCTAAACTAACACAACAAGAATCCTCTTATACACTGATAGCAAGTACAAAGCATTTTTGGCAGAGCTTGTGAGGTCTTACACTCAACTCTGACATTTCTATTTGTTTGTCTGTATTTAAAACAATACCTTTTGAATGCCACATTCAACCAATTCCAAAATTTCAGGGAATGTTCTAGGCAGAGCCGAACCTCTTGATTTTGGGAAACATTGGAAAACTGAATGACGGGAAAATGGAAACACACGTAGCCCTGGCATTTGGTTAGCAGAACCACAGATTAACTGCTTCTGCAACTGTGTATAGATCAAACAGCTGGTTGATGGAACCCATTAACACCTTCCAGCATAATAATACCCATGCTCATCCTCCTGTCACAGATCTGGTTAGGCACCCCCTGGCAGCTGCCCATCAGATGGCTGAGAGGGGAATCCAAGCCTCTAGATCACTGGGTGGTTTAAGACTCCTGGAGCCTGAATGGGCAGTCTCTGGGCAGCGGTGTAGCCAGGTACTAAGAACAGGGGGAGTGAACACAGAAAAAAAGGCGCCACCCACTGCGAAGCAGCAAAGAAAAAAAAAGGAAAAAAAAAAAACCCCCAAGTCTTGCCGAAGAACCCGCCGTGCCGAATTACCCACCGCCGAATTGCTGCCGAAGACCCGGAGCGACTGAAGCACCCTGCTCCCCCCCAGCTATGCTACTGTCTCTGGGGTCCCTAGGCACACTGTTGGATTGCAGACCCTGTGTCTAACACTCCCTCCTGACAGTTGGAACCCCTTGTCCAGCTGCCTAGCTCCTGGGCTCAATGCTGACCCTTCAGCTTCCCCTATTGCTTAAACACACCCTCTCCCAGGACTACCCCGAAAGTGTGAGCCTTCTGGTTTACCATTTAACTCTCTCAGGAGGCACATGGCAGTAGCGAAGCATGTAACACACACACACACACACACACACACAGAGGCACTTTGCACAAACTCTAATACCACCGCTCTCTTGTACTTAATCATAAATGCCTAAGAGAAAGAACAGATCATATAGAACACAACTTCCCTAACCGCAATACCCCTCACTAGCGCCTCCTTCCTTTGGGAGTCCTTGGAGACTATCTGCGTTTAGGAGGGTAGGCAGGGTCCCCTGCCTCACCCAGGCTTCTGCAGGTTGGGTTACCCCTCCCTCATCTTGAGCTGGAGAAACATGGCCCCTAGAAGAGCAGCTCTTGCCCCTTTTATAACTTTTTGCCCCCTTTGTCAGGTGACATCCTCCTCAGCTTCCCCGACTGATCACAGCCTCCTGCCTGCTGCCTTTGTTGCCAAGATGACCTCTCCCTGGCTAAATAGTTCTCTGGGTTGGGAGCCAATCTATTGTTTACAGTTATTCCATTTTGATAGGAGAGCACTTAAAGTCAATGGTCCTCTCTTGTTATTCTTTTGCCACCAGCCTTTTGAATTTCAGCCCAACATGGAAGCAACAGACAACGGAGAAGGCAAAAGGCTGCACCTTCAAAATGGAGTTGTTACAGCTTGGTCAAGATACATACAGGAAGTTCATAATTCAGGAGCTGCTTTTCTGACATAGTTTTTAAAAACTGAAATAAATACACATGTGTAATAATATAAATAGACACACATTTATATCTCTCCATATAGATATATACACCTATGTACACACATATGTATATGTATTACTGGAATAATTAGGTCTTCATTTTCTTGAGCATTAATCTCATCCAGTTATTACAATGATGAAGGCAAATACAGTTGCGTACCACTTCCTGGGCAGCTAGTGGAAGTGATACACAACCATATATAATAGCAATGGCTGAGATGTTGAACTATGGACAGATGCAGATTTTATATATGAACTTGGGATGGTTGCTTTACCTTCATGAACATGCTGAATCCAGTTTTCAGGAGATCAGTGAGGCCTGCAGATAGGTGCTCAATATCAACAGGGTCAGGTCGATCAGAACTGAATATCTCCTCTACCACCTGCTTCAGTAATGGCTTGTAAGTGGCCTGCAAAAGTAGAACATGTGCTGAAAATAAAATTGCCTGTACTTGTGGCTAGTTGCTTTTCTTAGCGTTTCATTTCCATTAAAGGAAACAAAAGCTTTTGTCACAGAATGGAAATTGATTGGACACATTTACAAGGTTGAAGCAACAACTGTATTTGCAACACTACATAGCAATGATATGCACAGGATTCTCAACTAACTGAAAATGCAATATTTACCCAGGTGCTGTGTGTACTCCATGTGTAAAGGGAGGCAAGGAAAAAAGTGTGAAGATTCTTGTGGGAGAAGAGGTCAAGCGGCCAGTTGAGGCTGTTGTTATTAGCAGAGTAGAGCATATGGGCTTAGGCTTCTCTCCAACCCAAAGCTCCTCTAGGGTCATACAGAGAGGGCAACGAACTGTCACCATACCTGTAAGTTATCTCGAATCCAGAAGGCATAATTTCAAGGAGACATGTGGCTTTGTTGAACACTTAAACAGAAATGAGTACTATGATGTGTTTATTTTAAGAGAATTTAGTGTGTTTGAAACAGGTTGTCCTGGTAGCTAGAGAAGGTCATATCACGTAAAGTGTGAAATAATAATTCAGCCCCTACTCCTAGACCAGGAAGAGCTATTGGAGGAATGATCATGCACCTCCATGATCTCCCTCCCTGCAGAGCCAGCCACTCCTGCCTCCTAGCTACATAGGAGAACGGGGACAGATTAAGACAATCTGGGGCACTAGGTTCATAATAACATAATGACATGCAGCCTCCTGTGGTTCTGTCCTCCCAACCCAACCCTCCATTTGGAGTGATGGTGGCAGGGTCGGGGCCCCTTTCCCCTGCAGGTATTGCAGTAGGAGCCCCCATCCCTTTGGATGCAGCAGGAGTGTCAGCACGGGTCACTTGTCCCACACAGAGTCAGGGGGCAGTAGAGGGAACCCACGTACTTCTCCTGGCAGTCTGTTACTTAGATGGGCATGTTTGCCACACACAAAGGCCTGCTCGACATCTAAATCTTAGATCAACCTAGCTATGTTGCTCATGTGAAATTCACACCCATGAGAGACATAGTTAAGCTGACCTAAGCCCCAGTGTGGACATTGCTAGGTTGTGGAAAAATTCTTCCATTGACCTAGCTACTGCCTCTCAGAGAGGTAGATTTATTACATTGACAGAACAACCTCTTCCATCACCGTAGTAAGTGTCTACACTACAGCGGCGCAGCTGCAGCTGCACTGCTGCAGTGTTTCTAGTGTAGACTTTCCCCAGAGTCTTCTGTTTGTGTGGTGTTGGCAGAACCGCCTGGAGTTAGTGAGTCTTGGAGTGAACACTCTGCTGAGATCTTAGAGCTGTTCACATCCCTCAGAGCTATTACTTCAGGCTGTCTGCAAACTCACTGGTTTTCTTCACAAACATGATGGCAAAAAACTTAGTTTTGTTTTTCTAAATGAAAGCTGAGATTCTGATGTAGTTTCCCATGTGGGGAAAAGAAAGGAAAGACCCCTTCATCTCTGTTGTCTTCAGGATGTGGCCAGCTGGTTCCCTTCCCAGAACTTCAGGGTTAGTGGAGTGGCATGTCCTCACTGAAAGCTGGTCTGTGCTGCCTGTCCCTGCCCCCTGCAGCACATGGAAGCACTCCTCTTGCTCCTGCTAAGCTACACCTTTAACTCATATGGTCTAGGACACACAAGGTGACATTGGACCAATGGGAAACCTTGTCTGTTGGCCGAGTTTCTAGCACACTCTGGGATGGTCTGAACTTCCGAGTGTTAAGGGGTCAGTACAGGTGGAGTATTTAAAGATGTAAATCATTTCCTGTTCCCCCGAAGATACTAATTGAAATTTAGGGTGCAGTGAGCCTATTAGTCATCCCTTGAAAAAGACAGAAAGAGGGAGAGGTCTGCCAGCTGCCTTTGAAGACCCAGGAAAAGTCCAGCAAACTACCTCTGATGATCTAAGATTAGAGGGATCCTCCTCTAGAAGGAAGAGAAGTGATCTTCAGCAGAGGTGGTGGGGGAAGCGCTCAGACTCAGATCTGATATTTAGAGGTCTCAGTATGAGAGTATCAGAGCCCTCTGAATATGAATATCATCCAAACATTAAAACACAAATACCACCCACACTCTGTAAACATGCCCTCAATCATTTTGAGACATTGGGTCTGATTTTCCTTACACCAACATAGATGAGAGGAGTGGTATTTTTTGTGACATGGACAGCTGTCAATTAGTGAATGGACTGAAACCACAAATTCTTTTCATAGTACACCAAATAGCTATCAGGTGATAACTTTCAGTGTCTATCAACCTGGGCTGAATTTGAACTGGTGATCTAGAGATGAAAGGGTCTATATTACATTACCAATGAGCCATTCCAGTGTAAAACTCTATGTAATATCCACTTAAAGCCACATATGAGCAATAGAAATGCATTAAAAATGAAACATTTGGAGCAGAGATCAAAACCAAAGTTAACCAGAAACCTATTATATGAAATAGACGATAGATATCATCTGAATGCCATCATAGATGAATACTTACCAGCTAAGGTTTTCAAAAGTGACTAATGAGTTTGGGAAGAGCTGGTAAAAATATTTTTGAAACTTCTTTCCAGCCAAAAATGCCATTTTGTGAAAACCAAAATGTTTCATGGAGCATATCAGCTTACAGGAAAATTTCCCTGTGAAGGTTTCTCAGGGTCAGGATGGCACTACTAAAGAGATCCACCCCTGAATTGCTAATGGAGAGGAGAGGGCACTTACCTGGAATGTGGGATACACAGGTTCAAGATCCCACTCTGCCTGATTTAGAGCAGGGACTTGAACCTAGGTCTCCCACTTCCCAGATGAGGACCCTAGCTACCAAGACACCGGCTATTCCTGGGACACGTTTCCTTTCTTTCCCTTATGTTGTTTTGTGAAAAATTTCAAAAGGTCACATTTTTGTTCCACACTGAAACAAAAACAAACGTCAAAACCTCAACATTTTTATGCAAAACAGAATTCTTGTTTTCTAGCCAGCCCTAATTTTGGGTGCCTGGATACCCATGCTCTGAAAATCAGGGCCCTTCGAGTGTCTCAGGCTGGCCACCCAAAAAATGAGAGCCATGAAATCACTAGTCATTTTTTAAAATCTTGGCCACAATAATTACAATGCTTTTCAAAAAATAATGTAATCTCTTTCAATTCCTACATTAGACTGACAATAACAAAGAACTTATATCCTAATGCCTGCATTAAGATCCTGTCTGGAGATTTGACACTGCTAACATTTTTGTATAAAACTGTGTTTAAATACAGTTCTTGCTAGGAAGTTGCTAACAAGTGGACCTGTCCCATATAGACAGGCCAGGTTACCAAAAATTGTGTATGTAACCAGGATGAGAAATGACAGGAACAGAGCAGCAATTACAAAAGCAGGCAGAGCAGAAACGTTAGTTGTGGAATCCTGTGACACATGTAACCATGAGGATGACTGATTGGTTAACTTTACATAAACATTCATTAGCTTGTTTAATACAGGACATTTGTAGTGATAAGAAAAGTCCTCTTTAAAGTTTCCTAGTAACTCAGTTAGCGTCAGTATATTTTGGGATATGAACTCAATCAGAATAACTGCCCCAAAACATATCAATGCTGATAAAATGTCTATGAAATATCAAGAACCCTGCATAGGTGCTAACACAGTTTCAAATCTCAGTATAGACATGGCCCCTGGCAGGATGGGCTGAAGACTGGGGACTTTATCTGTACATAATAGAGATTAAACTAGGGTTTTTAAGGCTAGGCTCCTGGCCCAAGGAGCCATAGGCTGGGCTCTGTTTGGTGGCTTAATCAAACCTGAGGCGGTAAACAATAGTCTTACCCAGAGAAGAGCATAATGCTCAAGTAACCACTCAACTCCTCCCACCAGTTCATGTTTTTGTTCCACCTGGAAATGCAGTGCCTCCTGATTCCCTGCAGTGGGTGTCTCCTCTCCGACTGACAGGCACTGGGAGCAACATATAGAGAAGTGTGCACCCCTATTACATCACTCCTTGGTGGTAACTTTGAAAAATCCCTCTATTCAGAAAACCCACAGCGCTCTAACTCATAAAATGGTAACTTTTGTTCTTTTCCATTTAAAAGGAGAGGGACCTTGGGTCCCTCCAGCTCTCTCTCTTTGTAGCAGCTGTAGCATGGCAGTAAACCGACTAAACACGGGGGGGAGAGGACTTGGGATCCATCCACAGATGCTTGACAGAAAAGGAGAGCTTGTTTGTATATGTCCCAGCCACCCCACAGATCCTGACCACAGTGAATCTGCATCTCTCTTCCTAATCTCCTTCTGCATGATCAGCTAGCGCAGTACAGAGCTAGGTTGGGCAGCTGTAAGGAATTAATGGATCCTTTACCTCCATAAAAGGTGTTCCAGGACTTGGCCCTAAATGAGCAGAAGTGGGTTAAAACCAAAGAACATACTGATGCTAACTACATTTCTAGGAAACTTTCAGAAGTACTTTTTTTTATCATGCTGAGTATTCTGCACAGAGCTACCTAATGAATATTCTGATTATATTCGCTATATCAGCCATCATTCTGGTCATAAGTGCCAGAAGATGTCAGGATTAGGTTTTCTGTTTTGACAGCCATTGGAATTGCAGCTTGATCCCTGTCACTCTTTCACCTGCCTCTCCTACAGTTCTTCCACTGCACAACCTCTTCAGCAATGTTGTGTAATAGCCAAAGTTCCATTGCTACACAGCATTGTTTGACTTACCACTAGAGTAATTTTATCCATTTGTTGGTCTGCAGTACACTGAAGTTTCAAAGGAATCTTTCTGGCTAAAGACCAGGGACAAGCTTAATGGTCTTTTAAAATCTTAAATTACTACATGTGCTTTCCATGTGGCAAATGTCCATTTCCAACTGAAGAAGTTATGTAATTTAGGGGGGTGGGGGAGAACTAGCTTTGGTCAGGATGACCTGTGCTAAAAGAAAATCACACTACTTTCACTAAACAGAAACTGTATTATCAGGCAATTTTTACAGCAATTGTGGAAATCTGAGAAAAAATACTTTGAAACACAGTCCCATGTAGGTACCTAGACATAATTTCAATATACAGTAGTGGATTCTGGCCCTGTGTAGTCTTGATCTAGCCCTGCCACTCATATGAATTGTATACAATATCACTACATCATTGTTAACCAAATCTTGAAGTCCTTACTCAGGCAAATTCCCACTGAAATCCAATGAAGTCAAGGGGAGTTTGCTTGAGTCGGGACTGACTAAGGACTTCAGGAGGCTGCTGCTGATTAGGTCAGTTCTAAAACCTATTTCCAAAAACATTCTGTGGGGTTGCAGAATATGTTTTGTATTCATACACAAGTAAATTAGTCACATCTGTGAAACTGTAATTTTGACTATATGCTAGAACAATATAACACAGATGGAAAAAGGATTATCTACTTACCTGACAGGTATTGCTTCCTGGGACATACACAGAATTAAACTGTTTCATGTGCATTCGAGCTCTTGTAACATCCCTGAGGGACTTAAAGATATTGTCCACTGCAACCGTAGCCTTCTGAAATGTCAGTTGAAGAGATGATTCACAGCCTGAAACAATACAGAAACACATGACCGTGTGAACAAAGGTCTTTCCATTTTTTGATAATGAGCAGTGGGAAAAAGATGATGAGGAAGAAATTTTAAATTAGTTTAATATTTTTAGACTTTAGAAATCAACATGTATATACAACATGCTCCCAGCATAGAACAGCTCGGTAAAGCAGTCACAAATCCTAGAGAGTAAACAAAGCCAACAATGGATGAGTTACATATGCATCTTGGATTATGAAACAATTTAACATCAATACCATAAATTCTGTTTGCTACAGTAGGCAGAAAAGGTAGTTATGTCACTAGATCTTTAAGGGATAGAACCCTGTTAAAGGGAGCACCTTCATTTTTCAGTCTGCTCATTGTGACACAATCGTGCAAGGAAGTTTACTCACAACATAGTACCTGACCCTTTGCCTGCAGTCCAGTGACCAAGAAGCCATTTCTTAGCTGTGTAGAACTAACTGGATGACTTAGTGACAAGTATTCTGAATTGCCAAGGAAGATGCAGTATTATCCAAAAGGAGATATGTTCCTCACTAATTCATAATTACTATAATTTTTTTGAATTTATTTGCTTAAAGCAGCTCTACCTAAGATGTGAACGTTAATTTTCATTGAGGTCTTACTTTTTAACCCAATTCTCTCCACCAGGTGGAGGCACAAAGGAGTGGATGGTCAAATGATTTCCCCAAGTCATATCCAGTTGTAAGCCCAGGACTTAGTAAGGAAGGATTCTAGTCCTTGGCTCTAATCACCACACCATCTGACCCATATCGCAAAAAAGAATGGAAACAGCGCTTCCTAAACTTAAATAGCTCAAGTTAGAGAATTACTGGACAATTCATTGTTTATATTGAGATGCTTGTTGGTCCTGCCAACTGTCTGCACAACTCTCTCCCTGCCTAGTTTTCTGCTCTCATTTCTTCATCATTCTCCCCACTGCCTCTAATAGTAAAGGATACAGAGAGTGTAAGACAAACCCCAACTCTCATCCTCACAAATAATTTACCACTGGGGACTCAGGGTGCATTCTATTTTGCTGGTTTACATTCCGATTCTGCAATATGATCCACATGGGCAGGCCCTTACATCTGCCTGCAATCCCACTGGCATAAGTGGGGCTCCCTCTAGGCATGAAGGACTGCCTACATGCATCAATATGCAGGAATGGTGTCTTGGGATTGTGTCTTACATCCTTGGGATGGTGTCTTGTAACAATGCTTAATCAATACTAAAGACTTTGGTTTTCCATGAATGGAATAATGGCCAAATGTTTCTATGCAGCAAAGACAGATAACAAGAAAAGCAAAACTGTGTAGATTTAAAGAGATGCCTAACATTAAGGCCTTTGGAATCATCACCTGTCAAACCACCAATGACACACAAATCTCTGTATTCTGCACAGCAAACATTAAGAACTTTATAGTGCTGAAAATATTCTTACAAGATTATTATTTGGTATTGGGACTGAAGGAACAGGTTCTTTATTTGTCCAAATACTAGGTGAAAAAGAATCTGGGTCAGATCCACAGCTGATATATCAGGGCAACACTCCATTGGATTTTCATTTGTGCTACCGCTGAGGATCTAGCTTTCTAACTATTCATAGCCATTGTGTGGTCTAGTAATGCACTGGGACTGGGAGCCAGAAACTCCTGCATTCTAACCCCAACACTGACACTCACTCAATCTCCTTGGGCAAGTCACTTGAAATCTAGTCCATTTTTAAAAAGTGAGTGAAAAGCTGTTTCAGGTACTGTGTTTGTTCAAGTCCCCCTGCAAACTACTGTGATTCTACAATAATCATTTCCTGTTTTAAAAACATGCTTCTCTCTCTCTCTTGTTGTTGTGTGAACAATCTGCACAGCCACGGAAACTAATTTAGGCCCTAATCTTTCAATTGACAAGTGCACCTGCTTCCTACCAATGACAGGCCGGGGGCCCCAATCCTTCAGACAGTTATATATGTCCACATCTTTACTCACATGAAGAGTCCCATAGACATCAGTCTACTCCTGTGGGTAAAGTTAAGCATGTGTGTGTTTGTAGGAATGGAGCCTAACTGATTCTATAGTGAAACTACCAAATACACAAATTTGTGCTACTGAATGCACACAGTAAATAAACTGGGGGGGGAAAGTTTTTTCTCTAATATCTGTCAGCTGTAGTAAGTTTTAATATTATTTCTAACAACAGTAGCTAAAAAAATTCAGATAGATTTTAAATTGACAATGTCCTTTTAATCTCTGTCTTGTTTTCCCAGTGAGTAAAATGAGGGTCCTAATACTTCAGTGGGGTACTCAAAATGTATCTGCCTTGATGGGGGTGGTCCCCCTCTCTCCGCTATATTAAATTCCATAAGAGCCAAGCTTTCTCTTGTTATGTAAACACTAGAAGGAAGCTTTTTCTGACTAGCACAAGTTATTTTTCCTTTGTATAAAGTGCTTTCTTCAACCCTTTATGAGAAGAAAGTCATCGCTTTTGGCCAAAACACATCTGGAATGTTTTCTTTTGCTAGTGAACCTCAGCACTCTTTGTTAAGCAAGGTCAGGTAAAGCAAAACCACATGAGGCAAAGTTCGTTGCTTTTGCTTTGGACATTTTCCTTTTTTTTTTTTTAAGATTTTATTTTTTGTCATTTCAAAGTCCATTGTCGTGTTCTTATAGTTATTTTTCTCATTAGCAGAGACTGCTCTGTATATAATTTCTTCCTTCTTCCATTGACAGCTTTTTTACTTCAAAAACGTCTTCAGATCAGAATTTTTAAACTTTCCACCCTCCACTTCTTCTGAAATGTAATGACCAGTCACTGAGGGCCCATTGCCTTGCATTCTGTGCAGTCATTTATGCCTGTGCAAAGTGGGCATGAAATGCTACCACAAGTGTCTGTGAGTGGAGAGTTCTTATTTGGCAGCATATTACAGCTCCACTGCATGTGTGTGAATGACTGTACTGGGGGAAAGGCAGTGAGAATCAGGCCCTGTATGTATATGGTGCCACAGGATAGGGACTCCATATAGATACACTAAGACAGTCGCAAACACTAGCAATGGTCATTTTGTGTTCTTTTGCTTTTATTGAATCTTCTATTTTCATATTTCTTAGCCACAGTTCTCTTTGTTTATTTATTTATTTTGATTTGAGCCTGGCAATTGTTTGGTTGTTGTTCTCTCTGCATTTGGCACATAATCACAGCATGTCTTGTTTTGCTTTCTTTGTTGAGATCAACCTGTTGTTAATGCATTTCTTGATTAACTGCATGCCCTTTAATTACTTGACTAACTACCCATCTTATTTATAAACATTGATTTTTCATGTACCCATTATTTTTACAGTTTCTGTTAACAGAGTCAGATTTTAAGACCATTAGATCACTTAGTTTGATGTCCAGTATAACACAGACCCTATAATTTCATCTAGTTACTTGTGTATTGAGCCAAATAATGTTTTTTTTTTTTTTTTTTTTGACTAATGCATGCTTTCCAGGAAGGTATCTAGTCTTACTTTAAAGACTGCAAGAGATGGAGAATCCAGCACTTCCATTGGTAGTTTGTTCCAATAGTTAATCATCCTCACTGTTAAAAATGTATGCCATATTTCTAATTTGATATTTGTCTAGCTTTAACTTCTACCCATTGTAAAGATGGAATTTTAAAAGGACCTTATTTTATGAAATATTTATTTTAATTTGTTTCGTATAAATTTCTGTGCACTTTCTAGGATTCACTGGCTTTAAAATGAAAAAGGAAGCATTAATTTTTATATTGCACTTCTGATTCCAGGAAAGGAAATAAGGAATCCTTCTGTTCAGCCTAGAAACAGATTCCAAAAATTCAGCCAAGAATCTTCAAGACAATTTACAGTGACCTAATACGTGTGCAATCTGAGACACCAAGAAAACCGTATATTATGAAAATACTTTACATAAGAAACATTTACATTGTGGAGTTCAAAAAGAGAAACTTGCTAATAATAAATATTCTGCTCAGGGTTTCATTAAGTCAGGTTGATTACAAGTATTTAGTGAGTACTTCGATTTCAAGCAATCATTTTCTTCCTCTGACTTTTCCCATTTTAGAGCTATATTCTTTCACATTTAGAAATCCATGGCATACTGCACAGCTGGGTATAGATTACAAACCACTGTAAACTCCCTTGGGATGGAATATAGTCAATTCTAACAATTATTCTAATTGGATTAAAATAACTTTAAGGCACACAGTTATGAAAACCATCTCCCTGACATTCTTTCAACTGTTACAACAATTGTTTTTCAGATTCCACCATTTCAACCTTTAGAGTCCCGCAGACTCCACGTTACCATCCCTAGCTTCAATGTATCAGCATCAGAAGCTTCTGCTATAAACTAGATCCACAGGCATCCAAAGCTCTAGGATAAATTTTTCATTAGCATGTTGGATTGTCGAAGTGCACCATACACATTAGAGAGAGATGGAGAACTAATGTGCAAATTGATATATGAAGTGATTAGAGAGGGTTGTAGCCTCATCTCATAGCTCTCTGAAGTGGGACGAAATGGACAGTTGGCACCACTGAAGAAATAGGGCTGAAGTAAAGGCCTGTGGGTCCTGGGAAGACAAAAGTGATGAAAAGCGTGCCTTGGAAAGGAGGGGTACTGGGAGGGGTGCCTGTTTTCTGCTTTCATACCCAGAAGTAGAAGTTGGCATTTCCCAGGTTTTGGATCCAGTTTGGAGTCTGAGAATGCTTGGATCCAGAGTTCCACTTCAGGGCCATCTCCAATCTCTTTCCTTCAGCTATCCTCAATGGTATATATTCCTTCTGTGCCACCAGGAAAAAACTCCATTCACATGATAATAAATCAGACAACTCCAGTCAAGTTGGACTTTTTTCAGATAGTTCTCTTTGGAATCAGAGTTTGGCTTTGTCCTTGTTAGTGGTTTGGGCACATTGGCACCAGCAGGCCATAGTCTTCTAGATAAAAAATGCTCACACCACCATATTATGGAGTAACAG